CACACACACACACACACACACACACACACACACACACACACACAAAAAGGGTTTACAAAGATGTTTTTATTCCTCTTTTTCCATAGATGACTAATGCAGTGTTCAAAATCATTCATGTGTTGCTTCTTTTGTAACAGAAACACTTCCTCCACAAGAACTATTTCAGGAATTATTGTCTTGGGATTTTTGAGTGGGTAGAACAACTGCTTCATTTTGTAAAGTTAGAACAGTATACCTGTGAAAATGGAAAACCATTCCAAAAAAGGGAGCCAAAGCTGAGACGGAGAGTTACCTTATTTAGTGCTTTATTGAGGCTCTGTAATATGTTTGACAGGCAGCATGCTTTCCAGCATTCCCCTCTGCATAACTGTTATATCTGGACAATGTAGGCCTTTTATGGAATATCAGCCAGACGAGAAAGTCTACTTTTTGATGTCTGGAGTTATGTTTTGTTGCAGTTTTATACATCCAAAAATAATTCTATTGATCAATGCAGATTGTTTTGTATAGATTTTAATTTACACATCACACTTATAATACAATTTGAAACATAAATCTGTGTGCTGTCCCTCAGATGCTGCTAGCTCTGTTCACCTTGGCTGGAGCGTTGATGTTGCCAGTGTGGTAACCAATCTGCAGGGAGCCGATCACCGCTCCCAGGATGGACGTCACAAGCGTGGCCGTCAGATGGCTCTGCCGCAGAAACAGAATTGAGGTTAGCACCATTTCTTGTTTTATATCTTTTAATTCATAACTAATAAGAGAACGCTACCTCTTAATTAGGTCATTTTAACCCTTTACATTCTTGTTTTTTCTTTCTTATTTTGGATTGACTACAATCATCATAAAAATCCAAAGTAGTTATGGTTATGATTAAGCAGATAGAAGACAAATACTCAATCCATTACTGATTTCTAACCTTATGACCTCAGTTCATTGATTAACATTCCTGATCCCTCCCATGATTCCAGCAACCAGGCCAATCATATGAGTACTTGTAAAAGTCCAGCTTGGCAAGAACAACAAGGGTTTGGCGCACTGGCAACATGTCCAGAGTTTTAGTCGAGTAAGTGATACTGCCTCGCTATGTTCATTCTGCCTCATTCACTCATTCACAGGAAAGCATTGATTCAAACAAACCTCCTGAGATGCCATTTGATTGTCTGAGATGGTGTATCACTCCCTCGGGATGTATGTGCATTTATTTTTCTCCTGGTTTTGTTATCTGTAAAAACCAGATAGTGGGGGGGGGGAAGTCTAGCAGTTGTAGTTTAGGAAGCATTAGTGGTAGTATAGGAGTTTGGCGCAAAATGATAAGAAAAAGACTCAGCTAACAACCAGAGACACTGAGATTTTTTTCTGCAGTGCAAATTTCATATACATATATATATCAAATAAAGTGTATATGACTAAATGTTTTTGAACCACAGTGCGGTTACACTACAGCATCACAAAACATGTTTCATCAAATAAAAATCAAGCAACTATATGAAACTATATACTTACTGCATACAAATATTTTTGCTTGTCTTTTTGCATGCTTACCTGTGTTACTGCATCAACCAGACTGCTTGATTTGTCCCGAAACAAAGTTGGAAGACTATATCATCTATATAAGATTGTCCTCACCACTGTTCCTGAGTGTCCTACGTTGATCGCTTCTTCATCCCTGAGTTCTAGATATGACTGTGTATCTAAACCAACTACCAGCTGAAACTTCACACACACACACACATTGTACCAGTGACCACAGTGACGAAGTCACACCTAGCTGGTGAATTTGAGGTATATCTGATAAAATGGCAGCAGTGGGCCTCCTCTGGTTCTCGTGAATCAGCTGATCAACATCCTGAGTTCCCACTGACTCTGGGTCTGCAGCACTCAAACCTCAAATTGCTTTGAAAAGCACAAAACTGCTCTCAGTTGAGGTTTTAAGAAGAACCGTTTGGTGCTTTGAGTAGGCCACGGTTTATAATCGCATTAATCAAAGATGGAAAAAGTCAGGTACTTCTGTTATAGTGTGGCATGCTAAAGTTTATCAAAGCCTAAATGTCTGTGTTATCACGAGGTCGTACTGCATTCTTTGCAGGGTTTCCCATGCTTTGGCTGATATGTTCTTCGGGCACCTGGTAGCATTTTCTGTCTTGGAATCCCTCAAGTGACACACATGCATGGTAGTTTGTTTGTTTTTTCAGACTGGAGTCTTTTGGAAGTATAAATCTGTATTCTTGTATGGTTTGCCCTTTTAAAACAAATTGCTTTAGAGAATTTAATTGAAACAACAAAGATTAACTACAATGGGAGGTTAACTAATTGGAAATTTAGGGTAAAGAACTGCTGCTGCAGAGGTGGCATGTGGATGGAAACGACAACACCCATCACACAATGCCGTCACAATTTAGGGCCTCAGGGCTTTTATTGATAATACTGTGATGAAGTATAAGCATGTATGTGTACTTTCACTCCTCTTCCTCCTGCTTCCATCAGAAGAATACTAGCACGGAAATGCAAGTTTAGTCTCAAAATGTCAGTATGTTTCCTGATGTGATAAACTGTTCCTGCGTTTTTGTGTGTATTTACAAAGGAACTGCTCTAAAATGGTCCCTATTCATCTACTGCGCACATTACAGCGTTACCCAAAACTTTAATGATGGCAGTCAAATACAGAAACTATGCAAAGGGGGAACACGTAAAACAATAATAAGTTTCTATCTGATTTTGGCATAATTGTGTCTCTCTGATTTCTAATAGTCATCCAAACAAACCTTATGATTGAGTGATTGTTATAGGTGATATGAACTCATCTCCAGTGTTCACCCAGATATACTATTCCGAAAAGCTTAATTTCATTATTCCATTGCTTTATTTTCAGTCAGTGAATGCTCAATTCTTTTTGCTACATCCTGTTTCTTTACATGGCTCATTAATGTTTAATCCAATCCAGTTTTATTGAAAAACTATTGCACAATCGAGTATGTGCTTATATCTGTGCTCTGCGCTAGAATTCACTAAAGACAGATGTTTGAATATGCTATATGTTTGCACAAAATGTGGGTTAAGTGTGTCTTTATGATGAAATCATGTAAGCTAAGCACACACCTGTCTCGTAAGAAAATCCACAAGCCCCCTAACTGTATTTCATTGCCGAGACTCATAAGCCAAATGAATATAAATGCTGTAAACATTTCCCACACTCAGTGCAAACCACATCATTTGAAAACAATTTTTATCATTAATTTTAAGTTGAATACGTTCGCATAAATATTAAATGGCCCCTGGAGCGTGGAGGTGATGAAAAGCAGATCATATCAGCTACACTGAGTCATATGTGAAATGCTTTATATTACAGACGGAGCACAATTAAACGTTATACACAAAAACAGATCTAGCTTCATATTTAAAAACTAGTTCTTGTAAGCCCTAAACTGCTGACTGACATCATAGCTTTGATGTTAACGTTTTTGATGTTAAATAACATGAGATTGCTCATTTCATACAACAAAATGACATATGTGCTTTCTTCAGCATGAATAAGAAATATAATCCTTCCAAACTGAAACTTACAATGATTGGAACAGTTCCTTAAGGGTGCTCTATTTTTAAAGAAAGCCAATCACAATATCACAAGACTATATTTATCAGTGATACTTATATTTAGAAGTTTCTGAGCACAAACAAGAAAGAAGTGTTTTGGGGCATTTTGGAGAGGGGTCAAATGCATCATCCACCTGCAAGCTCTGTTCTGTTCTGTGCAGCTGAGTTCTTAATCAGCGTGTGGATACGCCCGTCTGGAATATGACCTTTGACCCCTGAGCCCTGGCCTCCTGACAGGCAACCCCTTGACCTTGCAGTCAAGCAGCTGGGCAGGTTCTGCACAGGCACACAAGGGCACAAATGGTGAGCGGTGTGCGCTGTCATCCCCTCATCGTTAATATTTTGCTATCACCGAAGCTAATGGCTTGCTCTCTAAATTACCTGTAATGGTGGTTTTGGTCTGTTTCTAAGCGTTTCAGTGCACACAAAGGAGGATAAAAATGCGCAAATTTACTCATCACTACTAAAACATGTGGGAAATATTAGATGGTGGCTAATTGTATTGGACAACTACTTCTTGGACTGATTTCTTCCACACATGATGCTTGTAAATAGACAGCGAGGAAAAAGGTTGAGTCATTAGATGATTACTGAAATTGTTTTAGAATGCATTCCTATCAACTGAATTATCAGCTTTGCTGTAAAACCATCACTTGAAAAATGTCGGTAATTCAAGTTGATGTCTTTAACTCCAAGTCCAGAATCAAAAGATTCTATCTATGCACTTTCTGAACTGCTTATCCTGAATTAGAGAAGTGATTTAAAAAAAAAAAAAGATTGTCACTCAATTAGTGTTTAAAGAATTTTAAAAAAATACTCACTCCTTTAAGAAAGTTAGATAACACAAAGTTGTAAAACTCCTAAACATTATTCCGCTCCTATTCTGCCCACGTCACTTTCAAAAATCCAAATTCCAGCTTTCACCTATGAAACCCCTCCGGCAACCTGCCTACCCTTCACCCCACTTTCAACAAAGGAGAAAGAACACACACACTAACACACACACGCACATACATCCCTAAGCAGCTGCGTCATTATAAAACTCTTTTGAACTTCACACTGGAAGTCAAATGCCACATGTGTCAGTACAAGACAGATGTACTGCAGCTGCCTCTTGGCTCCAATTTCATCTGTGATACCAGCCCTCTCCACCGCCTGTCTCCCCCTTACCCATTTTCAAACCACTACCACCCCTTCCTTCACCAGCAACCTCACCACAAGCCCTCTTCCTCCCATCATGCACTGATAAAATCACCAGCACCTTTGAAGTATCATCACTAAATCAGGGCATCTCACAGCACACACAAATAATTGTGCATAATAGGTTTCCACATTCAAACATGGGGACAATTAATTATAGTCCTTTTTTAACATGGGCAGGAAATTCCGCTACAAATTTCCCGTGGGATCTTTTATTTATTTCAACCATTAAAAACACAAAAACTACACAAGTCTGCAGAGAAATTCAGTAAAAACATTATCTTTATTAAAATATTTCAGTTCATGAAATTCAGTTGGCTTGCTTGATGCCGTATCATAAGTAAAAACTTGTTGTGCAGACACTGGATTCAATTTGTCAAACTCCAACCTGCAGTGAACAATCTTCACCATTTGGGGTCAATATTGAACTCCTTCGCCCTCCTTTCAGAAAATTTGTCTTCTGTTAACAGCTCTAAATGCTTTCAACTGCCCAGAAAAGTATAGTTTAAGGAGATGTAATATGGAGAGTTTCCATATTTCTTTAGAATCATTATCAAGCTTTTTAAAATACCACTGTTTATATTGTAGTAATATTAAAGTGAGTCTAATCAGTTGGATACTTAGTGTCACACAGTACCTCTACAGTTTCCTCAACATGATTCTGTAAGAGATATAACGTGGTTCAAGTTTTCAAGTGTCTTGTTGCTGAATTCAGTCCTCTCTGTCCATACAACAGTGAGATGTTAAATTCTTCCAAATGTTGGGCAACTAGATAGCTGCTTTAAATTTATGACACACTTAAGGTAGGAAACAGCATGAAGTATCCCAAAGAGTGATACAACCCAGGTGGAAGCTACTACTTTGTTGTAGCTCATAAACTTTATGAACATTTTCTGAGCTTTGCACTTGACTGATTCATTTTGAGATTAAAAGAAAAAAGCCTTTAGCCTCTTTTGTTTTGCTTGTGTCTACTTTGACACAAGTTTGAAAATGTCAATGATTCTGAGCAGCACCCAAATCCACATGAATCATTTTTATTCAAAAATAACACATTTCAGTGTTTTCTTTTCCATGGATCTAATTTCCTTTGCTATGAATAAGAAACATTATCAAAACACATTTGAATGGTGAAGTGCAAAAACAAGTGAAACAAAAAAAAGCTGTCTTTTCTCTACCAAACTGACATGCTACAAGACTCCTTCACTACATTTTTCCCATCATGATTTGTAGTGATTACTAGCCTTTTGGGTTGTTTTAGCTCTTGCATGTGATTTGCAGCTCTGCAGCGTCTGGAAGCACTTCAGCAGACACACATAAGCTCACTGTGTTCAAACCTGGATTGAAACAGGCACTCAGGAGAGACTGCACAGCCCTCAAAGAAAGGCTGGTTTCTTTTCTGGTTTCTTGGCATAACTATCCAGTTCAAATTAGATGCAACTGGACTTGTGATTGTAGTATATTAAGCACCAGATACTGCATAAGTATGGTCCTGACTGTGCGTAGTGATGACGACGGGAATCTTAAAACACAAACTGAAATAGTAAACTAACCTCACCATAGTTAAAATAAACAGTCCTCAGAGCTGACAACGTGCAGTCTCGCCTAAGCATTTCCATGTTGTGAATTAGCTACTGTAACAGCCTAATGTTTGACATGATATAAACAGAGAGAAAAGTATATCTTTTTTTTACAAGAAGCCAGAATGACAGTGAAGTAAGTGAACAATCATACACCCCCACAGTGACATTTAGTAAAACAAAGCTTATTGTACATATTTACAAAAGGAGCTTTTTTTGTGTCTCATAATTGTGAGCCATTGCAGGGACTATTGGGGAATACAACTCATACAAAGTATTTAAACCACAACAGCAAAGGCACGATTCTCCGATTGTTCCCAAATGTGAGGATCACATTTTTATTTTTTACACTGCAAAACTAAAAGGATTTTTTTTCCCCTTCACTGCTCATAAAATGTTAGCATTTATCAGACACCCGGGGCAATATTTTTCAAAAGACTTACTTCAGTGTCTTACATAAAGTGGAAAAGCTCCACTATGAGTAGTTTTAAGTGTTTGAGACAACAAGACTGACATCAGCTGTTTGAGGTCAGACAGTAATTGTGTTTACATACACAATACATAGTCTGACATTACTGGGAAGGCTCCAGTATTTACTGTATGAACTGCCACGCCATATCTTGCGAGGTAAACGTGAATATGATCGATGAAATGGGCTGAGATTAACAAGATATTGAGCCATGTGAACTTCTTACTCTATTTACTGGTTAGATTAGTCAACTGTGGAGTCGTTTTTCTCTGATACTAATAATATTTAAAACATCTTTATTGGAATGTAATCTATTTAGAAAACTAAAATCTCCACAAGAGAGTCAAAGATTTGTTCAGTTTGGATCAGTAAACACTAGAAGGCAGAATTAAAGAAAGATCATTACATGATTGATTTTGTAAAGAACGGATACTAACATTACTGCACAATTACTTTTAACACTATATAAACTTATACACAAAAGAATGGGATGCATGTATTATAAATGAGTGGCCTCCACTGTGGTAAGGACACATTTAAATTGAAGATGCATTAGTGAATGCGTCCCATTTGTTTATGTAAGCACCAATGCAATGGATTCTGATCACATAGTGTCAGACTTGGAACTTAAACAACAATTTGCCAGCTCCTCATTAGTATAAACTTGAGATCTATGTTACTTTATACAAATCAGAGGTGCCTGGTGCAATAGCAACTCTGGAGGCTTGGGAAAATTTAACCAAATCGGTAACAAATGAAGACAGATTTTGTTTCAGAGCTCAAACTTTGTTTTTTTTTCGGGAAAATATTTTGCGGCTCTTTTTGCAAACAGTGTGTTTGTTTTGGTATGAAATCATTTGTACAATTCTACTTGGTTTCAGAAGAGCATCTATCAAATTATCTGTCATTACAAGGTCTAGTAGCTCGCCCATCTAACAAAGCTTCTCAATAACCCAGCTCTAAAAACACCTGTGTGGACATTTATGCTAAAATGCAACCCACAACTTTATACGGCTGTATTTTAGAGTTGTTTGTCTCTGTGTGGTTGCATGTGTGTGGTTGCATTCCTGAATTATTTCATTACTTCATATTTAATACTGTTTGTTCGTATTCCAACCTTTGTGTAAACATGTTGAAATGTCTTCCACTGGGTGCAACAGTGTAAAGTTCCATGAACATCCTGTGTGAAATCTTTTACTAGCAGCTGTTTTGCATGTTTAATTTGTCAGAATCTTTTACTATTTGTTCTATTATTATATTTGTTTTTTACAAACCCATTTCCAAAAAAAATTCAGAACACTGTGTAAAATGTAAATTAAAAAAAATGATTCCACTGATTTGCAAATATCATAAACCCATATTTTATTTAAAATAGAACACTGAAAACATATCACATGTTTAAACTGAGACATCTCATGAAAATATTCTTTCAAAAGTAAGTGGTACCAAAAAGCCGGATTGTGGAAAATTTCCCAACTAATCAGGTATTCTTGGAGTTTCTCAGAAGTAAAGATAGACAGAGATCCACCAACCTGCAAAAATGTGCATCTCCAAATTGTGGAACAATATTAGAATAATGTTCCTTTTAAAAGCGTTTGAGTGTAAAGAGTTTAAATGTCATATCATCTACAGTAGATAATATGATCTTGTGATAATATCACAAGTTTCACAAAATCTGGAGAAATCTCTGTGCGCAAAGAATAAGACTGAAAATCACTATTGTATGTCCGTGATAGCTGGGACCTCAACTGGCACTGCATTAAAAACAGGCATTATTTTCTTAAATGCATGTTAAAGCTCTATCATGCAAAGAAGTAGTTATATGTGAACATGATGCAGAAACACCATAATCTTCTCTGGGCCAAAGGTTATTTAAATTGGACTAAGGCAAAGTGGAAAGCTGTTCTATGGTCAGATGAGTCCAAATTTCAAATTCTGTTTGGAGAGCAAGCGCTTAACATTCTCCTAACTAAAGAGGGAAGAGAGCATCCATAGTGCTCAGTTCAAAAGCCTGCATCTCTGATGGTATAGGGGTGCATTAGTACCCATGGAACTGGCAGCTTGCACCTCTGGAAAGGCATCATTAGTGTTCAAAGGTAGATGATATCTTGTTCAGGGAAAATCGTGCACATTTTGGCAAAACGATGCTTAACTGCATGATGAATCTTTTATAACAGCATGGCTTCATAGTATAAGAGTCTGGGTGCTGAACTGGCCTGCCTGCAGTCCAGACCTTCCACTAACTGAAAACATTTAGTTAATGGAACAGGATTCATCTCCCAAAAGTCAGACAACTGGATTGGAACAGAGGATTCTACACAGTGGTAAATATGGCTTTGTCTCAATTAATGTGAGATACGTTGCTACCAATAAATTTCAAATGAGCTTTTTCCCAGAAAATGGTACATTTTCATTTGTAAATAAAATATGGGATTATGAGATTTGCAAATCTTTGCATGCTGTTTGTATTTACATTTTACACAGCATCCCAACTTTTTGGGATTTGTTGTTGTAAATTCTCTTTTTTTGATACTACAGAATGTGAAAATAAATTATGAATAGTGAAGAAGAGTGTTTTTGCAATGTTTTGGGGTTGTAGAAAAAGTAATTGAGTAAAAAAAAGTGACATCCACTTAGCTACCACTGTCCGACACCGGTGCGTGCATGACACTTGACAAAAACCAGATATCCAAAATGTTAATGTATCGAGAAGGTTTTGTGCAGGATTCACGCAGCTAATTCTGTGCTGATGATCCATAGACTCAACTCACAGTTTAATTCCGATACATGCCACTCACATAATTGTTGCTTCTTCACATAGAACATTACACATTTCTTTTAGTTGTTCTAGACTGACTTGTAGAGTGCGTTTTAAATAAGCACCATTCTTTTTTTTGTATGTGACTCACGGCAAGATCCTCTTTTATAGGTTTCCACTGACCTGTGTGCTGCTTTTTGTAACAAAGGGCCTGTAATTTTAATTCACATGGCAAAAAAATGTGTATTAGTACCTCGTGAGGACACACAGAAGGAATCAAAACATCAGACTTAACACACAGAGAATTGTGGTAATATACACATACTTGCTCTTCCAGTGGTGAGCCTGTCATCTTTGCAAATATATTCTCATTCTTACCTAGATATTTTTCAGTCACTTCAAGACAGGAAAAAAACATAAAAACAAATAAAATGTCAAACATAGGGAGAAGAAAGTGCAAATATTTTGGTGCCACTTTGTTTTTCTTTTCCATTTTTTTCTGTTCATTTACAAAACTCAGGAACTTCTTAATTTTTCTGCTCCATCTGTCTCTGTCCTGTCAGCAAGCGTGCAGATGCCTTCCCTCTGTGCCCTCTGCTCTCATCTCAGCTTCTTGATCCTTCTCTTCTCACACCAGACGTCCTACTGGAAACATGTGCAGGAAGAAGAAGACAAAAGAAATCATTTAATAATGAAAGTGTAGGAAGTAGAGATTTGTTACTACTGATGTGGGCTGTGTTTCTGAGTACAATTAATGCAAACCCTTCAGTGCGCAAACACGTAACAATGCTCTTTGTGCTTTTTATGAACATGTGAAAGTCTCTGAATGACCATGTGGAAAGCAGATTTGTCCTCAGATTTTTCAAACAAAGCAGATTTTTAGTTTAATTTAATCTGTTACAGAATTCATTTTATTTTAATTTGTCAAACTTTAATTATATCTCTATATTACAGACATCACCAGCATACTGTCTGCTCTCCATCTTTTTGTTTTTTAAGGTAATTAAACTACACAGGTAATATGTACTGACTCAAAATGTTATCTAGAACGGTAAGATCAAATTTCCTGCAATTATGTTAAAGCCAAGCAAAATCTGTAAAGTTGTACTGTTTTGCAGTTGCATGGGACAGTGAACTGAACTGTGCATGCTGCTAACTCATCAATCAGATGTGTGGGTGTATATGTTCTGGGGCAAAAAGGGAGTAGAAGAGAAAGATAAAGAAGGAAAGAAAGAAGAACAGGCCTGGGAGAAAAGCAGATGGGTCAAGAGCTTAGATTGCTTGCAGATGGCTGTCAGAATAGAGCCGAGGTCCTCCTGTTAGAGCTCAGGCTGTGTTTCAAGCCATGTGCCTGGGTGTTCACTTTTATATGCAAGCATTTCTATGCTGAGTTAAGTTTGGTTTAAATTTAGTGCATTAATAATGAAATTGTATTTCTGTATATAGGTAAATTCTTTCTTTCTGCATATTTTCTGTGCAGTGTTTGCTTGTATGTGTAGACTTTACTGGCCTGCATGAGGTGTTCAAAAGAGCAGCCTGGGGGTAGGGAGCTGCAGGTGCAATATCTGTCAATAAGCTGGATTTCATTTCTACGAAAAAGAAGCCCAGCTGATTTCACTCTAGAGGCTTCTGTAGTCTCAGATGATACATTTACAAGCAATAACTCAGTTCAGACTTTAATGCATCACAATCCTTCCACTGTCCTATAAATCAGCAGTTACATTCCACATGAGCGATCCAGCGGTGGATGTTTTCATCTATACTTTACTGTAACTGTACAAAATAAAATATTATAGCCAACTAATCTTGCCACGAGTCTGTTTAATCTAAGTGACTACTGTTTGCAGTTTTAACTTTGACGCTTTTATGTAAATAAATATTGCTTTAGGTCCTGTATGTGACCAAAACAGAATGAATCATCTTACCCAGGTCGTAAAAAATAGTTTCTGTGCTTGAAACAGAAATACCAAAAATCTCTACTGCCTCTTTGCATGGAAGCAATGAGGTTAACGTGATCCCTTGTCATAAGATAATTTTGATTTCCATTTTTAGTATTTTATATTTGGCACCATGTCTCTGTTCTGGGACTCCCCCACCCTTCCATGTGCATACAGCCAGTTGGAGAGAACAGCAATACCCCAGCACAGAACAGGGCATATACCAGTGACAACAGATATGACTGATTAAGTCAGGCACACCATGTAAAAGAAGTGTTAGGGTATAGGTGGTTTCAAAGGTGCTTGCAGATGTGCAACAACTGTGGACAGTTGCATGTCCAGCTAAGAAATCAGCTATTGTTGGCTGGTAACAAGATCAGATGATCTTCTGGGATTGAAGTTCAGCTTGGCCTTTTTGCCAAGCCTTCAAGAGACTGAGTTCTTAATTAAAGGTTCTGGATATTGGTTTGGTTGACACATCTCAGCAACATCACCTGAAACTTGAGGACAATGCCTCTGGACTGGCAGACCAGAGTGGCGGTAACCCTTTTTAAGAGGGGGGACCAGAACATGTTCTCTAATTTCAGAGGGTTCCCACTTCTCACCCACCCCAGCAAGGTCTATGACAGTGTTCTGGAGAGGAAAATCCATCTGTTAGTAAAAGCTCATACATGGTGGTTTGCAATACTGGACCAGCTCTTTACTCTCTCAGAGAGAATGGAAGTTTGCCCAATGAGTCTGCATGTTGTTTGTGAACTTGGACAAGGCATTCGACTGCATCTGTTGGAACATCCTTTGGGTGGTGTTCCAGGAGTGCAGGTTGACTGGCCAGTAGCTGCAGTTCATTCAGTCCCTGTACAGTGGTAACGAGAGCTTTATCACCGATTCCTTATAACTTTAATGGATGGAATTTCTAGGTGGAGCCAAGTGTTGGAGGATCTCTGCTCTGGTAGCCATCTGCAAAGAAGTGGTTTGCAGATGATGTGGTTCTCCTGGTCTCATCAACCAGCGACCTTCAACTTGCACTAGGATGGTTTGCCGCTAATTATGTAGTGGTAGGATATGAATCAGGGTGTCCAAGTTTCAGAGTATTGTTCTTATTCAGAAAAGGGTGGAGTGTTAACTCCAGGTCATCGACAAGCTATTCCTTAAGTCGAGGAGTTTAAGTATCTTGGGGTCTTGAGTTCACGAGTGTGGGGAGAGTGAAGTGGGAGAATGATGGCAGATTGGTGTGGTATCTGTAGTGAGGCGGACACTATTGGCTTGAAGACTGAGCTGAGGGTGAAGCTGTCAGTTTACTGGTTAGTCTATGTTCCTACCTTTACGGCCATGGCCATGAGCTCTGGCTAGTAACCAAAGAATGAGATTGCAGGTGCAAGCAACAACAATGAGCTTCCTCATGAGTTGTTGGTCTCTCCATAAGGGACCTCTGTGATTCAGGTTGGCTCACAGCGGTGCTGCTACATCTCCACATTGAAAAAGAAGCCAAGTAAAGCCTCCTGGATGTTTCCTGGATGTTGAGTAAGACAAGGTGGCCTGGGAGAGGGAGGTCTAGGTGTAACTATCGCCATGACCCAAACGTGGATAAGTGAGGATGGATGAATGAATGGATGGTTTTTCAGACCTAAAATGAAGTATTTGGCTAAAGTTTGTCCTTTCTCACATTAATGGATTTTTAAGTGGTAGTATTCGTTGTCATAAATCCTTTACCTTGGCAACACTAGTGGCATGTTCTACCTGTTGAGGCAGGTCCACAATATTTCCTAAGAGCTTTTTCCACTGAAGTCATGCTGTTCCTCTCTTTAGCTCAGATAAATGTCTCTGTTGTGAGAAGCTGAGCGACAGTTGTGCTGATGAATTGGCTTTGCAATTACGAGGCTCCAGAGGAGCGAATGGTCCTCTCCCTCCTCTCTTCGCAGTCACTAAGGACACTGTCTGTGCCATTAACAACACAAAGCTCTCCAGCCTCTCCCTGGACACCTTGGCCCCACTTCTGATAAAGAGCTGAAAGCAGATCCTGTCTAGCAGTGAATCGCCTGGCCTCACCTGGGACTGACCAATAAAGCCACTTGGCTCAAGAGCTGGGAATCATGGTATACCTGTGCATAATGGCAGCAGGGGGGAAATCACTTTGCTAAGACGAGAGATACACTGGCTTGAGTTTACTTTCAGTTAGGTAAAAACAGCCCATTGAATGACTTTTGTAGCAAATTCCTGAAGCTAATGATATAAAGAAGTAATGCTTTCCTGTCAGTATCCTCTCTGATGACCTCTTTAACATCAGCCCAGAATCCAGAAAGTCAAGCTGATGTCACTGTAATTAAAACACAAGTGGTGTTGGCTCTGAGGGGGCAGGAGTTCTCTAATGGCCCTGCATCCCCAGTGCCAAGGCTGCTCAATAATGCCCTCTTTTCATTCCTGCCAGACGTAGCCAGAACAAACAGGAGAAGAAGACAGGAAAGCACTAAGGGAGACAAGAGGAAGAGAGGAGTTTGACAGAAAACAGAAAAAGCATAATTCTGTGTGCTAGACTGTCTCATCTGTTTTTGTTACTCGTCTCGTCTACATAACAGCACTGAATTATTTATTTGCCTCTGCCAGGTGAAATAAGTTTATGAATACCTCCAGTGATGAGCTCATTAGTTTCCTTCCTAATCTCTGCTTAAAGACTAAAAAAACATATTTATATGACCACAGACTTATTTTTAATTAAAGGATTATAATTAACGTAGATGGCATAAAAAAAGAAATCCTATTGGTTTTACTTCTGTAAACAAAATGAAAATAAATCCTTCAGGTTTTGAAACCACCTTCCATCACATTCCCATCATGTGATTCACACTGGAGTGACTTCAGTTTGCTGTCAATCTGACAATACATGACGTTCTGCATGATGTACAAACCATCACATTTAGAACTTGTTGATTAGCCTGTTTGTTTTAAGTGTTATAGCAAAAATGAGCAAATCCTCATTCACAAAGCTCGTGCTATTCTTGACAGCAGGTGATGCATACTGCAAACTAAGGCCTCTGTAGTCACTCTCACTAGATCCTCAACATCCTTTAACTGTGTATGACCCTGTGAGGTGTTTGTGAGCACTCATACATGCACAAGGCCATGTGTTTGCACTTACTGTAAAATGTGTTTACGTATTTCTAAATGGAATTAAGCCTTTCGGGGGGGAAAAAAGAACTTTGTTAACCTTGCTCAACTTATTTAACAGTGAAAAATTCTTGTGTTTTGTTCAGGAGTTATCTGAGCTTCCAGACCTGTGGCTTACCAGTTGACTGACTGTAAGAAGAGATTACAGAGAATACAATCATTGGCCTTGGCTTCATCTGTAATGACGTTTCCACTGTCTTCAGAGGATGGATGCCACTCTTTTCAGGAAATATCTCCCAAGGTATTTAGATATTTTTCCTTTGCTTTTGCCAACATGTCAGAAAGGAGAAACCTCATACAGATGAGCTCTACTCTTCCTCAAATGCTTGAAATCCTTCAGCAAAAAGCGCACACTGTAAACGGTAAATATATCAAGCAAGAACCCGATGACGATCCGGAGGACAATGCCTGATAAGATTTAAGGGCTGACAAAGGCAGCTTCACTTAAACCACTTAGGCCATTAAGGAACAGCTAGGCATACCTGAACACAATGGCTGTCTCTTAGTCAAGACAGTGAACAATGCCATATGTTCTTACATGCTCTAGCTTCTTTCTGCATGCTCTCTCCCTCTTCTTGTCTTTATTTCATACTTCACTTTCTCCACAATCATCAGCAGCTTATAGTGCCTGAGTGGCAGCATTAGGAGCCATATAAAGCTGTCAGGCCATTTACCTCCAGCTCTTAAGCATGAAGGTGATAGATTCAGTGACTGTAGTGAAACAGCTAGACGAGCCTCCTCTGCTCCAGCAGAGGAGGCTGTTTATTCTGGCAGCCATGCCCGGGGTCCAAGAACCCTGACGTTATGCCCGCTCAGAGCCACTGTTCTGCAGACACCGGAGGGCAGAGCCAGGGTAAACACATGACCTCAGTGTTATGTGGCGTTGAATAGAGCTGGCGGTTAGACTTAGCAGCACCAGTGGGATCAATCACCACTCACTGAGGGGAATCCCGTTAGAGTGATCAAGAGGAGAAGAAGACAGGAAGATGGAAAAGAGCTGCGAGACGGACTTAAAGGTCGATTGATGAGTTGGTCATAATTTATTTGTTGTTGCTGTGACTTACAAAAAAATGTAATTAACTAGTGGGCCAAAGTAATTGTGTGTTGATAACAAATCACACAGGGAATAGCATGCACTAGTACTAGTTTTAAATACGCCAGACTGTCACATTGCACATGTACGAATATGTGTTAATGGATTATACAACAAGCCAACTACAGCTCCTGAAGCAAGAAGCAGAGTTAGTGAAAGCGTATTAGTTTGCCTTACTGAACAAATTTGTCCCTTGCCTTGTCCCTTGGTTGCCACTTGTTGTTGAGCTACCTGCAAAAAAGAGAAACTGTGATTAAACCTAATGGGAGTGGATGTCTTCTTTTTGGGTTTGTTGGGTCTTTTTTTTGGTCACACAGCAAATGTTATATTTTAAGTGCTTAAGGTAATTTGGCTATTAATGGATATTAATGCTTAAAATATAATTTCTTAATATTCAACACCAAGTAAAATTCTACTCTCCACAAATATTTGAACTGCAGCTGCTCTGAGAATCGTCGTTGTTGTTCGGCTTGTTTGACAAATGCTAATAGTCTCTATTAGGAGCAAACTTATTGTTAGTACTTCAGTTTTCCTGCCCAGACTGTGTGTGTCTAGGATTGGTTAATGCATCAGTCTTGTCTAAATATTCATTAGTGGGTGCTGAGTGCATTAGCCTTCTTTGGACTGCGAACTGATTCAACTGTTTGTCACTTGCAGTACAGTTACTTCATCTTTTACTTAAAATTACTGTCTTACTGTGACTGACTTCACATTTTTAAGCTATGAAACCATAATTATGTTTATTAAACTATGTAACAATAATGAAATATTAACAACAGACTAAAGCCATAAAAGAGTTGTAGATGAGCTCCTAATGCCAACTGGCATCTCTGTCCAGTTGCTGAAGGAGGCCAGCCATGGTCTTACTGCATGGTTGTGCTGGCACAGCACTCTCAGTCATTTTCTTTTCCTAGTTTTCTCCTCAGCTTCCTTCTTCCTCTCTTACCCTCCTTGCTGACGCCCAGGCAGCCTTTCAGCTCCTGCAGGGAAATGGCTTTGTCCTTATTCAGATCACAGTAGTCGGTGAACTTTCGGGCACATTTCTTGGGTTTGGCTTTCTTCTTCAAGTACTTCTTGAAAGGCTTTAGTTCCTTCTTGTTGATGTCTTGACTACCATTGTTATCCAACTGGGCAAAGTACCAGTGCACCACCCTCTCTTCTAAAGTGTGACTGGGGTCAGGCTCCACAAACCTGAGTAGATACAACAGGCAACAGAAACTGAAAAAGAAAATCTGATGGAAACTCTTCAAAAAGTAATGTGAGGGCAGAATTAATTTTGGGACATTCACCACATCAATAGCCACAACTTGGTCAAATTTACTGTTAAATTACAGTAAAGTACTAGCAGAGAAGTTTCCAGGACTGGGCTCACATTTTGCAGTGTCTACAGTAATCCACAGCTTCTTACTATTAACAAAAATGATGTACTGTCTGGTTGCTGTTTTACAGTTATAATTATTTTAATGTTTCTATTGTACATTCTATAAAAAAGTTTATTAGTACAAAATATAACAGGATGTCCTCATCCATGTACCCTGAATTTAATTTCTGGTCTTTGAATTATGGAAGATAACAACTTTGATGCACTTTCTCTACTTTTTACTTCTCAAAAGTCCATTAAAAGAAATGCTTCTGTATTCAGCATTTTAACAACCACCCTGAAGATAAAAGCTGGCTGAAAAACACAGAACACTTATCACCAAAGAAAAATATAATGTGTTATGCCAGATGATATTTCCTTAAAGGCATTTACAGTATTTAACTATATGGACACTGTTATTCCAAAATATCATTCAGCTCCATCATACACACATCTTTAGCACCAATGCATAGTAACTCCTGAAGTCTAGTGTCCAGATCTTCACATTGTGTGTCATAGAAATACTCTGCGTTTGCAATTCATTAAACCAAAAGGAAACAATGTTTTCCACGAACAATCAGCCAACATGTCAGTCTGTGGTATGTGACGCTACTTACCTCCCACCACCAGAGGGGGCTGGTGAGTTTATGGCTTGCACCATGTCTGTGGTGAGGGCATCTAACAAGCTTGTAATGAATTCCACTTTCTTGCCCTCAGGGCAGCCTGGTGCAAATAAAAGACAAAAATACACCAAAATTACCTACCACAACTAATTTGAGCCATTAGGCCGCAATGAAGAGCCTCTAAACCTTCAACACCAGTGAACCACTGTGACAGATGTCAAATAGAAAACGTCTGTTAGACCGTCAAAACCTTATATAGAGCTTAGTGACCAAGTAAATCTGTTAAAAGTGACCAGGTGAAAAACATGAACGTATGAATATATGCTTTAACAGAGGTGAAATACATTGTTTGGCTGTTTTGTTAGACTTCAAAAACACAGAGCTGAGGCACATGGGTGAGGTGGGGCAGAAGTGTGCTGTGATGAGAGAGCTTTCTTGAGCAGAGCAGACCTGTTAACTTTTATGGAACAATTTTGAACACCTTGGGTAGCTCTTTTTAATTGCCCAGATGTATTTTAAAAGCACACAAAACCCGTGCAAAATTTTCCCTCCTAATTGTGTCTCTTAAAGGGAAACTTCAAACGCAGCTGCACTGTAAACTAATCTTCCTATTCTGCCTTTTTTTTTTCAGTCTCTTCTTTTTTCTCTCGAGCTCTCTCTGTAGATCCCCCTCCTCCCCCTTTTCTCTGAGGATTTGTGGCCTCCTCATCCTCTGCACCATTCACGTCTTTTCTTTCCTTTTGTGTTAGCTCAGGACGGTCTGTGGGAGGCGGGTTGATGCCCCGCCAGGTGAATCCAATTAGCATTTCCTACAGCATGACAAGCTTGAAGAATCTCTACCTCGCTGTGCTTTAATCCAAGTGTTAAATTGGGGTGTTATGAAGCGCAAACTGTTATGTTGTATGTAGCTTATGAGGCAAGGTGGTTCAGGATGTCTGCCAGCATAAAAGAAGCTGCGGGCACATGAAAGCTGCTACAAACATGATTGTTGCAGGTGTAAACATAAAGAAGGGTATTTACCCTTGAGAGACTCCAAATGAGACCCCCCCCTCTCAACACCTAAAATGAAGTTAAATACTGGTGGGTGTTGAACAATATATGCAGCAATACTGGTATATCTGTGACAGGCCAGCTGATAAAGTCAGGCTTTACCTACAGAGCAGACACTGTAAATACTGCATTGGCGGCATATGTATGTGGATGTGTTCAACCTTTGAATTTGAAGGCATTTGCTGATTCATGAAAAGTGTAATTTTGCTTTACTGTTTGGTGGACTTTACCATTATCACATTACAAATTGCATTGTCCTAAACAATTCTATTCAAAGTATAGCCACAGGCAACTAAGGCTTTACTTTACTACAGTTGAACTTAATGGATCTCATCCTTTGGTCTCAGAGGACGAGCTGTTATATGCTCAAAAGGACAGAAGCAATATTGTCATTATGTGTAGTTGGTGAGGCTGAACCTGTAGCCAAATGCTGTTAAGCCTCACCTCTTAAGCATTCTTTTTTCACCATTGCCTTGATGTGACAGCCATGAAATATCATGCTTTGTTGTGGCGGTTCAGAACATCCCTCTACAGTACATAAAAATATCTACACTCAGCTCCCTGCAGTATCCAACACCACCAGCAGCCCCCCCACATGCCTTGCCACCACACCCCACAACACTAACACCTTCCATAAAACATACCACACATCTGCTGCACAGTCAGGAGTATGCTTGACTCTGTAAACTCACCAGATGGGGAATTAAACAAGAGTTACAATGCAGCCTTAAATGATGGGGAAACAGAGGGGCAACAAAAGTAAGTGAGCAGTAACAAGGGCAAAGGAGTATGAGCCCATGTTACGACCTCTGGCTCAGGGGGCAATCTGAGTCATGCATACTTAAAACTTTCCAGGTTACATTCTTTAACATGGATTTAAAAGCAGAATTCATGTGGATTATTATGTAGGACTTGGGCTTTTTTTTTTTTTTTTGCAACAGCCACAAACAGGTATACATTGACAAACCACATCTCTGTGTATATATACTATTTTTCAGTTATTTGCTTATATCATTCATCTAAATAGCTATAAAGAGTTTTTTTCCATTATATTTTGGTATCGGTTTCTCTGTTTTGGCAGTATTGACTTTAAAAGTTCTCTTGAATATGACGCGCCTTCCTTGTGGTGCTCAAAGTGCCAAAAAATAAATTTAAAAAACTTAAGCAGCAATCTCTCTTTCCAGCAAAGACACATTGTTGTGAACAGATTCATGTAAAAATCATTTTCTTTCTACCAAACCACACTTGCCAATCCCTTCATGCTACAGAAGCTTCCATTTACCCATGACAAGCAGCCAGTCCCGGTGAGAGGGTATAAACATTGATGCTTTCCCCCTCAGCTAAGCTGTGTTGTTGGCTAGAAGCTAGTGTTTTGATATTAAAGTCCAATGACAGTTATTATTTGGAAAGCAAGTTTGATCTCTAAAGCAGCTATAAAATTTCTACCAGATAATAAATGGAAAGTTTCTGTACTCCCACACCCAAATTGGATTGAACTGCAGTGAAAAAGTGAAGTGACCTTGCAGTTCTCTGCCTTGGAATGCTTCTTCTGTATCCGAGACTCGAGATCGTGCAGCTCCATCGCACTCAGGCGTCTGGTACCTGTTACAAAGAGGCAAGCACATGGCTGCATGAGATAGAAGCCGAAGAGGAAAAGCGTAAATCTGTCTTAGCAAAGTGTGAAAAATTGGAGACATCAAAGGAGTTGATTTCGAAAGATCTGAACAGCTAGAGAAGGGGAAAAAAAATCATCACCTGAAACTAAAACCGAACCGAACTAAACAAAAAAACCACCACAATCCAATTAGTCTTCCATGATCTCATTTGCAACATGTAACAAATGATTCAAATTCTGACTTTTTCAAATTACAACCTCTTGCTCTCTTGTCTTTGATCTGTATGCTCTCCCTTCATCTCAGTTGACCGTGATTAACCTTTCTTTATAGCTTGATAAATAAATTGGATTTGAAGTGCACAGAGCTTTTATTTTTTCTTTCAAAGCCATAACAAACTGTTCAGCATTACGCGTGGCATGACTCGTTTTCTCCTGGCTATTATATCAGTGGTTCGTGAATACGATGGAAAATGGAGCACATGTGTTTGATTTGTCTTTTTTTTTTTTTTTTTTAAGCAAAAGCAAGTTATCAGCTCTATATTTTTTTACACAGTCTGCACAGCCACTGATCCAAGATGGGGATATCTGATGGATGACTCTGCACATTGCTGTTTGGAGAAGAGAAACTGGGATGTATGACATGAGTTCTAGTCCAAGTGTATTTTTATGTGAAGGAATAATCACCTCAGGGTTTTCATAAAAGAGCTCTGAAATGCAGATCAGAATTTGCTCTGTCTAAAGTTTCCTGTTGTGCCAGTGATTTATCCTAGGGTGTCAAAAAATAAATAAATATGCCTTCTGGTATCTTATTGATTTGAAACTAAACTTGAGCTATTGTCTATTCAAACAGAAGACCATATCTTCAAATTTGAAAAATGTCTTTACTTCAGCTTGTAAAGCATTAAGCCTTTTGGAGGGAGAGAATGACGATTCCTTTTCAGGAACAAAATCAGTTCATTTCTTCACCAGTGCATGCTTATAGTCCACGCTTTGTCTTTGTCTCGCCACTTGTTTGAAGTTGTAATATTCATCTTCTGATTACAAATCACAAAAACATTTTACAGAAACAAAACATGAGCAGTGAACACTCATTTTTTTCGAACGTGTTTTTAATTCAGAGATCCCCCAACATGAAGCTCGTGCACAAAAAATACTGTGCTTTCCTCAAAGCAATGTAAACAGTAGCAACTGCACTAAAAACAAAGTCATTCCAGAAACAGAGTGTTTATAGCTAGCTAACCGAAATTCACATAATCTTGGAACTAATTGCTTTGGCAAGTGAACTGGCAAGAGAGCTTGGATCCAAAACTTTCTGGATAATATAACTGACCAGTCTGTCAGTGGGTCCACCACTTTAGTCTGACTTACAGCAAAAAGGTGTGTTATTCTTGAGCTTCTCCTTTGTTGATCCAAGTGAATTATTTTGGGGGATTGATTGCCTCAAATTTTGGAACCAATATGTGCTTTTCAGGAATGGATTCCTAGATTGGTGATTATGTCTCCATAATCATTCATTCTCAGATGCCCTCAAATTAACTACCGTAGAGCACTCTTGTTTAAAATTAGACAGATTATTGTTTTTAACACATTTCAGTAGTCCTGTTATTAGCATGTCAGTTATTCATATGATGGCAGACAGACATGCATATCAAATCAATTAAAAACATCTGTAACTACTATAATAAATGATATTGTTTCTTTACGTGATTTTTCTGATAATCTTACCTGGTAGAGGTTCCAGGAATGGGGCGTCCCGTGTCCACCAGAACACACCAACAGTAGCCTGTGGACTGGTGGCACTGGACGGCCTTGTAAAGGCCTCCAGGCCCACAGTCGGGGATGAAAATGGCCTCACGAGGATTCTGCAGAGCCTCTTCCAGAGCACTCTGTCTCTCCTGGTCACAAGAGGGAACTTTCTCTAAAAGTATTAGAAACACACTCAGTACAGGAAAATAACAGATTTGGGAAACCAAATACAGACAGCACATATACAAAAAAATTACTACTACTAAATTAAAATGTGAAATATGTGGAACAGGGTTCTGGAAGTGTTCACTGCAAACCAGATGTTGGCCTCTGGTAACATTTTATGTGGCCTGTGAGCACAAAAAGGGAAAAAATCCATTAATGTGCATTTTATTCAGGACATAAACGACAATTAACAACATAAAGCCTTATGTCCTGACCAGGCAATTTATAAATACAAACCAAAAGTTTTAATATGGGCATTTTCCAGTGAGACTCAGTCATGTACTGGCTGTACAAAGAATCAGTCACACAGTTCCTAGAGACCTGTAACCATCTCGTAACTACCGGTCATGAGGAAAATTTGTATTCTCCAACAGGTTGCAAGTGGTTGCTGAGAGTTACTATGAAATTGATTGCTGTTCTGTTAACTCGGGTCTAGAAACAAGTCGGTGATTCCCACGGTAATCATCAGTCACTAAGGAAAAGTGTGTACTCCACAAGCAGTTGGCAAGGGGTTGCTAGAGGCTGCTGGAGGTCACTAACAGGTTGCTGTGGTCATTTGTAGTTTGGATGGAAAATGCTGACTTGTCTGCAAATATTCAACTTTTACTTTGAAGTGTGTTTCGGGTTTGCATTGCACTTTTTCCAAGTTTCACTACACCTTCAAGAATAAATGACATGTGTTTCAAGAGAAGTCAACATCGTCCATGCAAACTATAAGCAACCACAACAATTGTAAAACCAGCAACCTCAAGCAATAACTTACCTACCAGTCGCAGACACACTTTTTTTTCGCAACCTGTGGTTATCAGGGTGTCACTGACAGGTTCCCTCTGAGACTCAGACCTAAATTAATGCCATTTTCACATGTGTGGTGACATATGTTGGGTGAGTGCGCCCTGCCCCTTTCTTGAATTCAGCTGCCATCCGGTTCTCCTGAGAATCAGCCACCTGACAGTATAAAAGCTAGGGAAGAGCTGCTTGGTCAGTATGCGTTAGGACCAGCCTTGAGAGTATTGAGCTATAGTGGTGTCTTGTCTGAGCTGTGACTGAGAGTTTATCTGGGGGTCATAGCAGTAGATATTACCGGACAGAGGTTTATGTAAGAAAGTAAATGTTCCATTCAGTCATTTGTTCTCCCAGCACCTTTGTGCAAAGTCTGTGTGAGCCCATGTTAAAATACTGCACAGCAAGCATGTGGATGCCAGGCATACTCCCTCCAAGCATGTTCCAGGGAGGCAATTGTCACTGTTTAGTAACAACATTGGGTTACGGAGAGATAGTCACATTCTTAACTGCAGATTTTTTTTAAAAATCAAATAGGTCTTTTGTTAAATCACCAATTTTTGACCACCCCAAGAGTAATGCCATTAGCAGCAAAGTTAAATTATGGCTTTACCCACCGCAGTCTTACATGTTTCTGCTCAAAAACAGGCCTCAACCCTTGAGAGATGCTCCTGCAGCACCTTGTCTCAGTGGATGAAGAATGTATTTATATTCACATCCATTTAATCCATTGCTCACTCTTAAGCCACGTCCAACAGAGCTAACTGCTGAGATGGTTACCAAGGTGATTAAGTGTGCTTTGGTTGCTGCAAATCCATTCTTCATTTTACATTCAAGTACGCTATGATGAAGCCTTAAGCAACAATAATAGAGCCACAGTGACTTTTCTTCAAGGTGGTGACATGTGGTGGTGTTTTCACATTAAGGGGCTGACTAGTGCCAAGACAGTGCCTGCAGTCTCAGCTTTTGCTACCAAAGAATAACAGCTGTATCACACAGCCCCTGCCTAATTCAGATCAGCATCAGAGAAGTTGAGCAGTGAAAACAGAAATTAGATTTCTGGTCTTTACATAATTTAAGACCATCCAATAAAAAGCGGGTTGTATTCAACCCCTTTACGTTAGCAACCACAATAGCAAATCAGTAGTTGTGAGCACTGCTCTGGGCATTTCAGAATCTGTTGCTGTTGATTTAAACATGTAGACATGGTGAAGTTGGCCTGCTTAAGCCCAAACCAAGCATCAGAATAGAGAAGAAAGGTTATGTGAATGTAGCATGATTGTTGGTGCCAGACAGGCTGCTCTCAGCATTTCAGATCTACTGGGATTTTCCCACACAACCATCTCTAGGGTTTGGAGAGAATGGTGAGAAAAAGAGAAAATATCCAATGAGCTGCAGTCCTCTGGGAGAAAATGCCTTGTTAATATTAGAGGTTAAAGGAGAATGCCCAACCTGGTTCAAAATGATGAGACGGAAACAGTAACTCAAATAATGACTTGTCACAACAAAAGTATGGAGACGAACATCTCTGAACACGCAACACATTGAACCTTTTAGTAGACTGGATGCTACACAGGCTACCCAAAAATAAAAAAAAAAGAAGATTGAAAGAAAATTGCCTGGTCTGATGAGTATTGCTTTCTGCTGACCGTCATCTAAAATCCACAGACTTCCTGATTATTGCAGTTAACCATGACCATACCTTTGTGAACACTCCAATCATTTCTTGGTTTCTTGTACCTAAATGGCCTCCACAGTCACCAGAGCTCATTCCAATAGAACAACCTTGGGGTTTTAGTGGATCAGGATGTGGTACGACTCATGCCAATATGGACCAGAATCTCTGAGTAACGTCCCCAGCAACTTGTACAATCAACATTAAAAACAATGAAAGCAGTACTGAAGGCTTTAAAAGGTCCAACCCATTACTAAGAAGTTGTACCTGACACTAGCTTTGAAGTTTTTAAATTACACACATAATACCTTGTGTAACTCTTTTCTACATGGTTATAGACTCCCTCTCCTCTTTCCTACACCTGTATTTCAAAAGCAAATATAATGATACTATCATGGTCTTTTTACAAATTCACAATAACACAGAAAGCAGTGTTCTGGAACCTTAGCAGGAAATAATAATAAAAATCACAGTGCTGATTTAAAGGCTGACATTTAAATCATAATGCTGTGCTTAGAGTACAGAATATTATTGTCTGTTACAATGGCTGCCGTATCCATTTAGTCATAAAAACTTGTCTTTTTATGACTGAGACACATGACAGATCTACACTGGTCCCTGATCAATCACGGCTGCCATCTTTCACGAGATGCCTGATGTCACTGGATGGAAGTTCAGGAAAAGAGTGTAAACAGCCAATGGTAACCAGATAGTATTACGATACTGGCTGTCTTGTGTTTAATAGTTCCACCTAGCTACTCCAGCAACATTATTCATCTTTTGCTTTGCTTTGTTTCCAGTTTTGCAAAGCTGAGCAGGGGGGAGAAAGTCTAAACAGCTGGTGGAGCACTCTGTACTCACGTCAGTCAACTTTACAGAAGTGACAGAATTGTTTTGAGTCTTCCACAATTTTTCCAAGATGCAAGTCTTTCTGTGACACTGACTGACTGACTGCTGTACACGATGCTCGCTTTCATCCCCAGCTTAAACAAGTGCCCTGCTTTGTCCGCATCACGCAATAATCAAGCTGATATCATGAGCGCAAAACTTTATGTGGCGTTTTGAGAACACTGGGTCATGAAAAACCTAGCATGTCATTACTTCTGTTTCTTTTTGTTTTGGCAGTGACTGTGTGCAAAACACAATACTCTCTTATCACGATCCATGGTGAAGTTAATAAAGGTGGAGATGACGGTGGTGGCGGGTTCAGCAGAAGGCCTGAGACCTAGCGGAGGAGAGTGGGAGGTCAGATTTCCTGAGCGTGGCTGCCAGCACAGAGCTAAACGTGTCCTTGCACTAAAGAACATTTTTTGTCCTGTAAGGACTCATACTCAAGTGTTCTTAGTGCTGTCCTCGCCAAGGTTCCTTCACATCCAAATTATTTAGCACTGTTTATTATACAGAGGTTATGCTGGCGCCAGGCACTAGGATTCCCAAAAGAAAATTGTTTTTGTACATATAAATGGAAAAAGGCTGGATGCTTGCAATGTAATCCTTTCAGTTTTGTGTGGACATGAAATTCAATCAACGTCGTCCAGGCCTGCCTTGGATATCTGCATTTCTGCTCTATTTATTTTTTGTTTTTGTTTCTTTTTCAATTTTATTTCCCTTCCTTCGACAGGAACTGAAAGACAAGAAACACAAAACCCTCAGAAAACAAATATTGTAGTTTGGAAAAAAAATGAAACCCACACAAGTGGAAGTCAGGAACAGTTGTAACAATGTGATCATTGTTGTTGTGATTTTCTTCAGGGCAAATTGATAATGAAAAAAAGATGGCTGTCTGCAGTATCTTTGATAACACGCTTGCCCCATTTTATATGTGTCACTTTGGCCATTGTTACTGAGGCTCCAGCCTTAGCAAAATAATTTTTAATCTCCTTTTTTTCTTTATTCCTATGCTTGTTGTGACCACCCTCACTTTCTCAGTCCTTTCCTCCACTCCTCTACATCTTTTTCTTTCTTTTTCTTTTACCCTGCTTCCCTCCGTCCTAATTCCTCCGTCTTTAAACCTGCTCTCCCCCCTCCGATTGCTCTCTTTTTCACTTCACTTCAATGGCTTTCAGCTGTTGGGTAATCACTGCAACATTGTCTGCCTTCTCTGCAGTTAAGATGGCAGAAATGTTAGTAATAGAGGAACTCTGTGAGGATGTATATAGGTGCATGTGTTTGTCTTTACAACACAACAAAAGCATTGAGATGATAGAGACTCATTAAAAAGATGGTGTAACTTTTGAACGCATCAACCGAACAGCCGAAACCTGTTGCTGTGCACACTTATTGCCCTTTAAAGTTAAACAAGTGCATCCTGCCCTCTTGCATGACATGTAAATGGGATTACAAGAAACAAAAGTCTTTTTAAGACTGCAAATGTTTAAACAAAATCATGCGCATTAATGACATGATCGCATTATATCCCTTCAGCATTTTTGTTTTTCTTTTGTTTGCTTTACCACAAGAGAGGAGTGGTGGTTTGTAAGTTTCTGCTTCTCAGTACACTTTTAAAAATGAGCTGCATGACAGAGCGCTTCCCCCTGCTTGCAACATTTGATCAACAGCACGTCAAAGTCTGGCAACACAGCATCTGTTTGAAAAATGGACCTTGCTTTGCTTTGCCTAAGCAAACACATTTCACTAGCACAATCTCCACATCGCTCTAAATCAGAATTATTGAGTGTCCAGAGACAAAGCCTGTAAATGAATAACGCAGTTTATGTGCGTGCGGGATGTCTGCTCCATTAGGACTCAGGTTATTTCACTTTGTATTTAAAGAGAGGAAGGTTTAAATAAGGATTGTTATGCCAAATCTTCTCTGCTTAGAAATGATTTTATCCAGAAGTTAATAAAGCAGTTTGTCAGTATAAGGAGCCCTGCCAGCCTCTGCCCTTGTCCTAGAGTCAAGTGGAGAAATTGCCTGGTGGGTAGAGAGATTTATTCGCTGTCTCTTCCCTTTCGCGTGCCGAATTGCCCGAGTGAGTGAGTGTATGTGTATGAATATAATACAACAATATATCACCTTGCTAGTACCCATTTGGACAGCTTTTGCCTTTAGAACTGCCATGATTATTTTTAATTTATTTTTGATCTGTGCTGACTGAACAGCGTCACAAAGTTGCTCCAGATTTGTGACCTGCACATCCACGATGTGTATCTCCTGTTCCACCATATGGAGTTACTCTATTAGAATGACATCTGGTGACCGTGGAGGCCATTTTGAGTACAATGGACTCACTGTCATGTTCAAGAGACCAGTCTGAGATTATTTGATGTTTGTGACATGGTGTGTTATCCTGCTGGTGGAAGCTTTTGAAGATTAATAAACTGTGGTCATAAAGTTAGGCTGTGGCATTTAAATGATCAGCTTGTACTTTTTTTTCTTGGTTAAATGATTATAAAAATTACAAAATTGCTAGAAAATTCTAAAGACAGAATGGATCCATGAATGAAGTATGAGAAAGGGCAGTTTTTGCAGTGAAGAAGAATGGGGTTTTAAATCTTTTTAGGGTTTTAATGTTTTCAAAACATGTTAAAAAGGAAGAAGGCAAAGCATTAAGGATATTAACAAAAGACAAACAATGGACTTTTTTTTTACTAACCAATCAGAAGACACGCTGTAATTGTGTATGCTGGAGCAAACAAATTACAATTTAGTTATTTAATTTATTGATTTCCTTCTTGAGTTATCGCATTCACAAGATTTTCAGAAGACTTGACCTCTGACCTTAACCCTTCAGGTTGATGCTACTGCAATTCAAATCCAGCTGAGATTTTTAGTAGATACACCTTTGGCATCAATTTGAAACTCTTATATCGCCTCGTTCTCCAGTTACAGCATTGACAAACATGGGCGTCAACGGCACCCACACCTCCAGCTAATGACAACGGTCCGAGAGCCTTTTACGGCTGATGGGTAAAAGTGATAGATGTGTTTTTGTTCCTTTGTTGCCACAAAGTCTTGTAGCTAAAAGAATTTGTGACTGAGGGGACGATCTTTACATTGTTGAGGTATTTTTTCCTGTTTTTTTTTTTTTTTTTTGGCAGATAAAATGCACATGCAAAATGTGACCTCTGCCTTAAAAAGTACCAGCAAACAATGCTACAGCTGCCACTGTTAATGGAAGAGATGCTATCAGTACCAACCTGCTTTGCAATGAGGTAAAGTCACTACATTTAGAAGTCCTGCCCTCTCATGTTAAGTTTATTTCACCCCTAAACTGAGAGTAGCTTTTTCACTTATTGTAATATTACTAATACTTAAAGTAAAATATACTTATTTTACTTTATTGTATTTATTTCAGATTAGTTTTTACCTAATTAATTTTTCATACTGTATTATATGTAAGTTATATGCCCTTCTACATAATTCATATATGTTTGTTGTGAACTTTGAACTGCTATAACAAAGGAGTTTTCCCACCAAAACAAAATATATCTTACCTCTTCTTTTCTTTATCTGAAATGTACAGTAAGCTACATGGACAGTATAATCAACATGTGCAAAGAATTGTGAATGCTGGTATCTCAAAGTACAATAAAAAGTTATTTTTTTAAATAGGTAACATTGTAACATAAGAAATTATTTATATTGTGGATATTTTGTAACGTAACAAGTACTCTTAAAAGTAACATTACCCAGCACTGGTAACTAGCTCATTAAATTAAAGAATTACAAAAGAGCCAGTGCACTTAAGAATGTAAGCAGAAGAAGTGTACTGATACAAGTTTTCAAGAACAAGGATGATGTGCAAAACTGTTGTAGCTATAGAGGGATAACGCTGAAGCTAGGTTAAGATCAGAATTCATGAGTATTGGTGAAAAAGTATAAAGAAGGTCAAAAGGAGTTACACAGTGTTCTTGCTGATCTAGAGAAAGCATATGATGCCAAGAGAATGGCAGAGAGGGTGGTGCTGGACATGTATTGCTGGACAGTAAGACAGCGGTGAGGTGTGGGGTGGGAATGACAGATGGGTTCAGAGTGGGGATGGGATTACACTGGGGATGACACTGCCTGACAGTTGAGGTCAGGCAGGAATTTCCTTGACTATGATGTTATGATCTGTGGTGAGAGTAGGGAGCAGATGGAAGAGAGCCTGGAGAGGTGGAGGTATTCTCTGGAGAGAAGAGGAATGAAAGAAAGACAGGATATGTGTGTGTGACTGAGAGGGAAACGGGTGAAAAAGTGAAGGAGACAATTTTAAATACCCGGGGTCAACCATCCAAAGCAACGGACACTGCACAAGAGAGGTGAAGAAGAGAGTGCAGGTGGGGTGGGTGGAGAAGAGTGGAGGGGGTGATTTGTGATAGAAGGATAGCATGAAGTGTAAAAGGGAAGGTTTACAAGATGGTAGTGAGACCTGTTATGATGTATTTTTTGGAGATGGCGGCACTGACAAAAAGACAGGCAGAGCTAAATATACGGGATGGACAAGATTAGAGAAGACCGACAAACTTAGCGAGGAACGGTTGTGATGGTTTGGATATGTGCCGACAGGAGGGATGGTGGATATATTGGACAAAGGATGTTTAATATGGAACTGCCAGGCAGGAGGAAACCAGGAAGACCACAGAGAAGAGATTCATGGATGAAGTGAAGGAGGATATGAAAAGGGCTGGTGTGGCAGAGGAGGATGGTTGGGATAGAATGAGATGGAAGCAGACGATCAGCTGTGGTGACCCCTAAAGGGAGCAGCCAAAAGAAGAAGAGGTTTAAGTACACTTCCTCCAGTAACTGTTATTTGCTTTCCAACTTTAAATTAGGCACAGGCACACAATCTCCTTTGACAACACACACAAACACACACGCGGTTTGCAATCACATGCAGATGTAGACACACACACACACACATCGCTCATGCCTCAAATGTGATGACATCTCCCCCTCACTCGGCCTTGTCGCTTGTCCTTTGAGGACACCGGATGCTAATTTGAAACAGGAAGCTGGTGTTTCCACAGAAGTTTCAAAGAGCTGTCACAGCAAATACCTCTTAGATAAAATACACCCCTCAATGCTGACCACAGTTTCCCTTGCCACATCACCGTCATTCATAATCCCAGGAAACCCCAAGGTACAATCAAGTATTTGTATGCCTCATTGTTTGCAGCGTAGCATGTAAAATCAGATTTTGTGGTAAATGGCAGACAAAAAGGTTTAGGATGAAAGAAGAGTTGTGAGATTACATAGATGCCTCAACAATATTTAGATGCAAAATACTGAGGTGCGCAAGAAGACGGGCAGACAAACTACTGGTGAGATGTGGTGAATTTTTTTTCTTTTTTCCTTTCAGTATTTTAACGGCAAAAACTACGGGGCTTACAAGTCTGCAAGCTTCCACATCAGTTTTTATGGGTATTTGATTTCCTGAAAGTCTGATTAAATCATAAATGCTTTTTTAAACACTCGTGGAAACATTATAGCTCAACACAAACACAGTAGGTGCCTGATTTGCACTCCCCCCCCCCATTTTTTCCATCTTTAGGAGATACAGTCTGAATGAAAGATTTATTATTGAAGAAAATAGACTGTTTTTAGACTTTTGAAGATTTACATCAACCCATATATATCAGCTAACCAATATATCCATCTACTCCTAATACACATATGCTCACACAGGCCACACTTCATTCACTCCTCGACTTGGTACGGCCATCAAACCGCCCAGAGTTTAGTGGACACGTCAAGGCATAATTAAAAAGGAGACAGAGAAAGCTAAACAAATTACACCAAAGGAATGAAACCACAAAACATAACCCTGGCAGTGTAGGTCTGTCTTCAAGTTAAAACAGATTACATTTCATGGCAAGCTGGTGGTTTTGAAACTGGTTACACTGGAGCCACGTTTATATATACTTTGTTTAGGGTTCTAGCAACTTCTCTGATACAGCTTTCATATCTTCCAAAGGTCAGTATGGCTAATTATTTAGCCTGAGTATGTAAAAAGTGTGGCAGAGAAGAGCTGAGTTTATCAGCATCCAACAATGCTATATTTTAAGGGCTTCACGCACACAAACTTGCAAATTAATGCATACCCCTAATGCCTTTATTTTAGAGAATATGTGTAAAATAAGCAGAAAATTTTTCTTTCACTCACCTGGTTTCCTGGAAGAGGAGCTGTTCTTTTTGTTCTCCTTGTAAACCAGCTGTTTTATCCATAGTGTTGGAGCAGTTATCTCTGCAGCGACAGAATGACAAGTTCTAGACAAATAGCTTTCACACATTTAGGTGATCTCGAGAAAATTTTACACACAGCCGTGCTTTATTTAACCTCACCAGTAGCTACTTATTTGAAAAGCAACATGCACAGCCAAGCTTTGCCCACAAAACCAAAGCTAAAATTGCATCCAAGATCCCAGTTTTTCCAAAAATATCAAATGTATCATTTGGTATTTTAACATCTGGCCTTTTCCATTTGATGTAATGGTGCATTCTTAAGACATGGGATGTAAGCACACAAAGGAGCAATGCTGTCAGCTGCCTTTAAACCTATTAGTCATTATAAATATACCGTATGCACACTAATTATCTAAGCGACTGTGTAGGAGTTATTGAGGAGGCTTACCATCACCCTCAGGGGGGACATGAGTCTCCATGGTGGGTGTGGGCTTGGAGCCATCATCTGGGTTAAGGGTGAGAAAGAAACGGAAAGAGACTACTATTATTGAGGTTAATACAATCTACTCTCCAGAACTGTTGAATGGTTGGGATTTGCACATGGCCCGGCCAAGACAGACAGACAGACAGACAGACTGAATAATATAGAAAGGAGAGAGAGAGAGAGAGACAAACACCCACATGTGGTCCTGCACACATGCATCAATAAATCATCCTCACACCAACATGATCAGCTGCACATTTAGCACACTCACTCACACTCGCAGTGTAAACCACACACCCAGACACTCACATGAGGAGGACACCGCTCCTCAGGACAAATGCAGTGCAGATGTAGCATCAGAAAGCTGCATCCACAGTTAATGCAAAGAGGTGAAACTGTCTGTGTCGTCATTCTTAATTGTCAAATTATGTTGTAATGTATCGCTAGGAAGTAGGTCAACTGGTTAGTCCGCCCAAAAATGTTTGTTTTTGGTGAGATCTCAAGTTCCTTGAATGCATTAAAATTTGGAAATAATATACTCATGGATGTCCAGGGAATTTACCAAAGTGAATTCGGTGATGGTCTCATCGTTAGTTTACAATCACGTCACGCTGGAAAATTACTCCTTCACACCTTGGTTAAGTAGAAGGATATATAACAAAACCAGTTTAAAATGGAATCACACGAGTTTTTACAAAAATAATACGAGGTCATTTATTCTCCCAAGCGGATACGCATCACTCAAGCATCATCCTCGGGGCAAACTTTTATGTCTTCAAAACACATGAAGTACTAGATAATTAACTGTCTCGGACACTAAAAGAAAAAACACTAATAAGCCACAGAAGAATCTAATTAAGCAATATTTTCCTCTTTTTTTCCTTTCATAAAATATGCCAGTGTAGAAGGAGACTTCGAAGTTGTCGTGACTCCCTTGTTTTTGGCAGATGCAAATATGCAGCTCACTTTAACTACTAACCAAAACTACAAGTAATAAAATTGAAGATCACAGTATAAACGTTTATTCTTATTCATTACAGTTAAACACTGGTAAAATATTTGTGTCTCTGCTCCCACACTGAGGGCCAAATAAACTGCTGTCTTCAGTTTTCTTGGTAAATTATTAACTAAATATTTGACTTTCCTCCCTTAAACACAGTAAATTCTGGCAATGCTAAAGTTCATATGGGTATAACAAAAATACAACAATTTAACTGCAAAAACTAAAAACATTTCAAGTCCGTTTTTTTACATTTATAGATGTGATTATAAAGTTTTGCAACTCTGCCTATTAAAGATTCAAGAATGCTTTCTGGAAGTCGCCCTCTGTTATCACATGAAGACTTTTGAGTTTGCTATGTAGCCCACAATCGCACACTGTTTCAAAGTGGCAGGTGAGCAAAGCTTTTATTGGCGAGGTGAAAATACTCCTGCATTTCAATTCACTGTGACCATGTGCACAGTGCACACCTAATCTTTTCCCTCTGTGCAATATAGTAGACCTCCATGCTGTCAGTCAGATCCTATCAAGGCAAATTCAAACCCTGTGAATGATGAGCTTGGTCGTGACTGTCATTTGCTGCCTTTGGATGAAAATTTCTGTCAAAACCTGCTGTTTGGTCTCAGGAGCCAGAGCCCCAGCTCTCATTCTCCACTATACTCTGCAGTGACGTAGAAGTTGATAGTTTGCTCCCTACAAAAGTCTAAAGTCCATGTTTATATACCCCTTGCAGTTAGAGTAGAACTGATTTCTAAAAACTGCAGTTGCATTGAAAGTAACCCAGGGGCACCAAAGAGGGTGACCTTGTAGGGAAAACTGGTAAAATTTAAAGTAGCTAAGCTTTTAGGTAGAGTTGCAAAACTTTAAAGGATCTCATGTAATGCTGTGAATTGAACTGCCTAGAATACTCACCCACATGTGGTATTGTAGCATCTGGAAAATTCCTTGGGAAATAATTCAATCAAAAGCAAACAACAGAGAAACTTTGATTGGAGATAAACACTAATGTTAAGTTCTTAAATCAGATGACATGTCAGTAATGTTAAAGAACCTGAGGTCAAACTGACCTATTCAGGTTGAACTGTAAATAAAATGCAGTAGTCACTGGGTCGGTCTTGGTGTAAACCCAGGTGAAACAAAGAATGAGCAGCAGCGTTTTTGTTTTGTTTATTAAATATCTCTCTTAATTTACCATATATGAGAAGTCTATGTGTAAACCCTGCTAGAGTGTGATAAGCATGTCAAAATAACCTGTAACTTACTGCAATTGTCAAGTGGTGTGAAACTGCATCGGCAGAGAAGCTTCGAGAGACTGCCCACTTTTTTTCAGTTTAAAGAAATTCCTTAAGATCTGTTTTCTGTGAGATTTCTGAAGCAAAGACCGATTTTTAGAGGCTCAGTAGAAAGTCTCCTCAGTGTTTCTTTAATTTCTTGAATTAATTCTATAATGTTCCATATTTTATCATTCCTGGAGGGTGGGGAAAAAAGCATAACTTGAGCAAAACCAGTCAAGATTTTGGACAGATTTGTTAAAACTGCTATGGTTAAAGATGAACTGTCACTTGAGGGATGCATTAGACAGTGGTGCATATATTTGAGATCTTTATAATAAATTCAGCATCATTTGCATCTTATAAAAGGGGGGAAACATCTCTTGGTGTTGTTTTTAGATTCCCTTTAACAGTGAAGGCCAGTACGTGTAAGTTTGTGTTCTTCACAAATGTTGACTTTGCATGGATCACATGGAGTAAAATCAGGTCAAAACACTTTTAGGGTACATGCACACATAACAGCAGATCACAACTCACCTTTTCTATCTGTGTTTGGTGGCCCTGGTGGCTTATCAGTTACTGACCCTGGGAAGAGGAAGAAACAGTGTAAACCAAAGACTAGACAGTAACAGCCAGTAAAGTTAAATTTAAAGGATTTGTCTTCAAAACTGTTTTTTTTTTGTTTGTTTTTTTTGAGCTGGTAAAATAAAATAAAAAATTACCAACTTACAGCAAGTAAATATGTTTTTATTTCTTTTAAAACAGTCGACACAGGAAACATCAGAAAAACCAGCACTCCTACTGATTACCCAATCCACTGGTGTCTCTTCTTTTGGTTAGGTGGACGAGTACATATTGTTAGTACTATGCATAATTTTAATACAGACCAACGCAAAACTGAATGATCTGCTTCATCTGTGGAAATTAAACATGAAAGATTCCAAGTTCTAAATGCCATTCTTGTTTGGTGCATGCAGGTATTTGGTGTCATGCGTTGGATGCACGGAGGGCAGGGCAAAATTAAATGGTGCAACCAATTACAATAGAAGAGAAAAATGGGAGATTCTATTTTAAGTTAAAGCAACTAGAAGGAAATTTACTACCTGACAATCCACTTGTCCCAGCATGAGTTCCCATAAATTCACGGAAGTTTCCTGCAAATGTATGCGAGATGATTGATTTGGGTCACAGTAGACAGGCGCATCTGAGCATGTCAAAGGTTATTTGATTGGGAAGGTATAGTAAGGGGCAGATGAGCTGGGCATGTACTGTTAAACTTTAGTATCCGGAGACACCAGTGGGTTTATTGTGCCCAGATTCAGGCACCAGTGTCATACATACCTTTGCAAGAAACAATGAAGATATCGGATCTTATCCAGGACAGAAAGGAGACAGGTAGAAATTGTGTTGTGCAATAAACTACATTTCAGGATTTTAAAAAGAGTGTATTTAAACACGATTACACGAGAATGCACTTTCCAACCTTTGCTAAGTGTAACTGCTTTTAATTAATCTGTTATCTAGACTCAAGTGTCAACTTTATTAGTGCAACTCGCTGGTATCTACAGACTGTGAAGCCATTTGAGTGCATTGTCATGTTCAAGAAACCAGTTCAAGATGATCTGAGCTCTGTGACATGGCACATTAATGCTTTGGAAGCAGCCATCAGGAGATGGTTAGACTGTGGCCATAAGGGGATTTATATGGTCAGCAAAAATAATTAAGAGAGGGTGTGGCATTTAAACTATGGTACCAAGTACCAGTTAGTACCAAGGGGCCTAAAGTGAGCCAACAAAATATCCCCAGCACTTACACAAATAGGGAAGAAGGACTCTTTTATGTTGTTTAGACCAAATTCTGACCCTATTATCTAAATGTCGAAGCAGAAATCAAGCAACACTTTTCCAATCTTCTGTATGAATTAGTCTGTTTCCTATCTTTCCAGGCTGACAGGAATTGCACCGAGTGTGGGCTTCTGCTGCTGTGGCACATTTGCTTCAAGGTTAAAGGTGTTGTACATTCAGAGATGTTCTTCTGCATACCTTTGCTGTAACAGCAGGTTATCTGAATTACTGCTTTCTTATCAGCTTGAAGCGGTCTGGTCATTCTCTTGTGACCTCTGGCATCAACAAGGCCTAGAGAATTGCCACTAAGTGGATATTTGTTCTTTTTCAGACTATTACCTGTAAAGCCAAGAGATGGTTGTGCCAGAAGTTTCAGAAATCCTCAGACTAGCCCATCTGACACAAACAAAATCACCTTTCTGCTTAATTCTGATGCTTCTTTTTAACATCAGCCAGTCATTTTGACCATGACTACACGTCTATATTCACTGAATTGCTACCATGTGAGTATACTGTATATCTAACAAAATGGCCAATCAGTGTATTTTGTATTTTTGGATTGTCAGAATGTCGTAGTTAAAGATATCATCCAAACTGACATCTTCACATTGCTTATTTTGTCAAACCAATCATCCAGAACAGATTTATGTCATATATGAACAGTAAAGCTCCAAATCCTGTAAGTTAAGGAACAGAACAAGCAAATAGGATTTGGTGCAGCTCTGTTTTGGAGCAAATTCATTTTTTGCACCAAAATAAATTCATTTCAGTCTAATGTCTCTCCCTGAGTTGGCTTACAGGGGTGAAGTAAAAAATGTTTTGCAAACATTGCAAAGTGATGATGTTTGAGGAAACAGAGCCTCACGGAAAAAAGCACCAAGAATTTTCTGCAGCGTTAAACACAGAAAAGTCACAAAACTTTCAGGACCACATGTTTTGTGTGGCTGCACAAATTAATTTGCTGTCACTTTCTGTTGTGAAGGGTGAACTGAAAAATGAAGTATATGCGCCATTAAAAAACACATCTGGTGCAGAGAACAATAGAGCAAAAAAATTATAATTAGAGCTACTTTGTCATAGCATACCTTCATAAATTGGAAAATCAGTAAGGTGAGGTTTTATTGTTGTAACGGGTGGATGGAAGTATGATCAATTTGTGAAGTTTTCTTCAAAGCATCAAACAGAAAAATGTGGCACAAGTTAGAGAGACAGAAAAGAGAAAGCACAGCAGATTAGGCAGATAGAGATCGATCAAGGAACTGAAGAGAAAAAGAAAAGGGGAGGTTTGGTTGGGGGTGCTTTGTCTGCTGAGCAGTTTCAGAGGGGCATGCGACCACTTTCACCGCACTTTCCACACAAAATTTGCACCATATGCTCTAGTGGCTTTGCAATCCAGCTCTGGCAAAGATCGCTGTGTATTATCTTCTGAGAGAAAATGATGGTGATTATCATAAAGTGTTCCCATCCAGGATGAGTGTGCAGAGCCCTGTTTGCTCTCTCTCCTCCAGCCTGCTGAGAGCACTTAGAGGTGGGGGGAGAGTTTGAGTGCCGAGAGGCCCCTGCATGTATGGCCATTAGCCTTCTCGTTGACCTTGCACCTGCTGTAAGCCACATGACATTTAATACACATGTGCCCATAGAATGGCTCGACATTTACAGACAGACCTTTTGTAACTGTCATCCAAATGCTGTGTTCACTCTTTATCCTCCATCAGGACTGGCAGGCTTCCTGAACATCATTTATAAGTTTAACTCTACCTCGGATGTGTCCAGTAGTATCCTAAAATTATATAAAGCCTTTGAAAAAGAATTATTGCCAGATGTTTTTTGAATTATGAAAACTAGTTCACTTCCTAAAATGATTGACTGGCCCCAAAACCCAGCGACTTGGCTTCCAAGCACGCTTGCCTGCAAGATCCAGCAAACATAGCCACCACTATCATGTCTAAAAGCTTATTTTTCTGTTTTTCATACCGACAAGGAATTGTCAGGAAACATCCAACCAACTCGGATGCTTTGGTCATGCAGACTGTTAAAAATACTCCGAAGTAGAGCTGTTCAGGTAACACAAATAATTAACCATCACTCGTATGTGCGGTAATACAACAGATGTTTTAAGATGATTTGGAAAAGCTCCTCATCAACAGGTTACCAACTTGATTCCCCCCTATTTAGTACCTGAACACACTGGGGTCCTGTTGTGCACAGAGGAGCCACTCACTGGCTTGCCATCACTGGTAACACACCAGCAGTAACCGGTCAGAGTATGGCACTGGACCTGCAGAGGCAAGACACATGGAAGAGGTAAAACACATGAGAGTGTAAATAAAGAACAGGGGGTGGACTTTTCTGTCAGTGAAGAAAAAGCTCAATTTTGGGGTGATCTGAAGAGGGCGGGTACACATGAGACTAATGGAAAGAGAAAGATGAAGCGTGAAAGATTTAAAAGGGAAGGAAAAGGCCGCGGATGATTGGATACGGACCTGGGCAAATGTTCCATCTTCATTGCATTCTGGGATGAACATGGACTCTGAAGACTGAGGTCTTCTGGCTTGCTCCAGAGCCTGGTTCCTCTCAACACGACACTTGGACTGTCCTGCATCTGAAACGTATTGAAAGGACCTTCTGTTCTCAAACACTGCATACAAACCTCCAGCACTGTTTTTATGTACTGAAGACACATGTTCTGTGCCAGTAACACTCTGCTCACACCTGTAAATACAGACACAGTTTACTGCTGTGCCTTGCTCAAGGGCATGTTTTGACAGGATGGGAAAACAAACATAATTTTATTACTTTCTTCTCAGTTTTGATTTTTAATCTGACCCTTAAAACACTTAATCAAACTTTCAGCGTGTGGTTTTTCACAAATCTGAAAAAAAAAGCTCCAACCATAATAAACCTGCAGGTAGCTCAACTCTAGAGGAGGCAGAGACTTTTTAACAGTCTTCAAAAATACTAAAACAACACATTCCTCAACACTGACCACTGCTAGTGCCAGATGTAGGCTATGGATACTTCATTGTTAGTGCTGAGGAGTGCGTCATGTACTCTACATGGATATTTGGAAATGTCAGTGGAAACTGTTCGTGCAGCACCGATGAGCTTGTCCTGCTCTCGGGGCACAGAGATGGAGGTGGCTTTAAAGGTCAGAGAATGAAGTGGGCTTCACACCAGCTGTTCACTGGTTCAAACTCCCGTCAGCGACTACTGTTTTTATTGCACTCAAAAATCCTGTGGACCTGAGTTCATGTTCAACCGTTCATGTATACACAGTCACACCAGGGAGCTGACCAGTCGACCACGGTCCTCCACTTTTAACAAATATTTTTCCTGGATAAATAAAAGTTTGAAAAAGTCATCTCTGGACCTGAGTAGAGACAGACATGATGTCTCCTTTAAGCATAAAAGACTGACAGGGCCAAAATAGGGTGGTGATGTCACTGAGCAGGACAGCAATGCATGAATTTATAAATGAGACTTGTATTGTAGAGAAAATGCAGATAGAATATTGTAGTGAGACATAAAAGCAACCCCAAAATCCAACCTGAATACGTCTGATTTATGTAAATGTAAAAGAAAGTCGAGCCCAGCAGTCGTTTGCAGGTTGTCGTCTCGTGCTTGTTAGCTGTAACAAAGCTGAAACGCAGTGTATGGACACAGACAAATCTCCCTTTGAGAGACTTTGAATGATGACCTCATGCATAATGTGTTGATTTTAAAGCTAAATAATGAATAAGCAGGTCTGCCGGTTGAATCAGCCACAGCTTTGTGCTTGTTGTTGTTTGCGGTTGTTTGTTGTACTTGTTAGCAATTTATAAGCCTCGTATTCAAATTAATCTGTTGTGTTTAATCTGAATCTCACGCACATTTCAACCAGACTTTGCCTGGCTTTGTCGTTGTAAACAAGGATTGGTTCACAAACTGCCTGCCTAAATAAAGCAGCATTTTCATTACAACAGAACAGGCCTGCTGCATCTGCAAAGACTGCGTGAGCTTTGCCCAGCTTTCCTTCCCTTGGCACAACACTGGTATTATGAAACAAAGCCACATATTACCACACAAAGGGAGTCAGATTCACTCCAAAAATGGATTTAGTCGTACTGCTGTTTTTCTAATGGATAGAAGGGGGTCTGGAAAAAAGGGGGCTACGATGCCCGATTCCAATCTTGACTTTAGACCTATCAATCTCTGCCGTTGCTGGGTGGCTGGCATCCAGAGACTGAGGAAGTGTGTGAGCCTGGTCTGTAAAAACTTACATAGCTACAGAAACTACAGAAAATTAAAGACATCTTCTCATTTAGTTCCACTTTTCCCAGACTTTGAGTTGTGGCCACAGGCTGCAGTTACTTAAATATGCTATTTAAGATTCTAATAAATTAATTTTATTGCTTTTTTCATTTTTATTTTATTGCTTTTTCAGTGGCCATATTAGGTTATGATGAATTCTAAAACTGCATTTTAGGTTGTGTGCGGTGTTTAAGGTGTCACAGTTCTTACCTTTGAGCTCCACGTCTCTCCCTTCAGATATAGCAGTTGGTGCTAGAGCCACTGGCAACACCCAGTTTTTACCTGAATGACAAAAAGGTCACAGAGTCTGTGTGGTTTTGGCTGTTGATGCTCTTTTTTGTACTCTTTCAGGTACTATTTAGAGTCGAGTACAATACAAAATCTCTGCACACCTTAATGAGCAACAGGTGTGACAAGGAAAACTTAAATAAACTTAAACTAAATTAAAATCTATTAGAATATTTCAAAGTATCAAAAATCTAAAAGTACAAATCCAGCTGTATTGTTTTGACATTTCAGACCAATGCAAACTATCTACCATGGCAATGCTATAGTACACCATGTGTTTTTAGGGTGATTTTCTTTTTGATCCATTTCCTCTCCAGCCCTAGATACAGATTCAGAAAATGAGCAAAGCATCAGTATAGGTAGGCCAAGTTAACCTCAACTGCAATCCCACAGGTCAGCTAATCTTAGTACAGAGTCAGTTCTTTTATCCAACCTAAAGTTGCTATGCACCTGCAAGCTGCTTTGCAACCAACCTTCATCCCAACACCTCTCATTAGTGCTGTGTCTGACTTATTATTGTACCTGTTGTGTGCCCGTTGATGTATGTAAATGCATGTATGACTTTTACTCATAGCTGTGGACTGTTATGTGTGAGAAATGGATTGTGTAAACACAGACATCAGGAAAACATTCATGTAAACATCATCACTTTTTACATTTATAAAAAAACCAGATGAATCCTACATCTCAATTTTCTTGAATGCACCCTGAAAATAGCTCCGTGTATCTGCACAGAGTTGACCAGAGTTTAGCTCTCACCTCGACACCGGCCTCTGTGTGCTAATGTGAGTGTCTTATCTTTGCAGCGCGCCTTCTGCAATTCACAGTTGCTGTCATAGCTCCGCCCGTCTGAACCACACACCGGCTTCCCCGTCCGTGAGCAGGTGATCCCACAGTCCCTGTCTCTGTCTCCAATCAGCCACTGCAACAACAAATACAGCCACATGTTAACATAACACTGGTGCAATACACATTTAACTAACTTCAGATTTTATATAACGGGACAGACACATTTTGAGATTAGGGACTTTGGAACTTTTTTGTCATCCCTTGAAAAATTGGTTTGTTCTTACTTTTTGGCGTCTTCTCTTTCTAGCTCCCCTATGTTAGAACAAAGGCAGCATTCAGCTGAATCTGAGGTTATGCCAAACTAACGTACAAATTGGACTCACGGGTCACTTGCCTATTTTGCTCAAAACATTTCTGTTTTCTCAAACACTTGTCAGCTGCTGCCTTGCTTCTTTTCTTTTTTTTTTTTTTAAGCCGACGTGACAAGATTGTTTTGCACTGAAGCTTGACCTAGAGGCTAATTTATGTAATTGATCTTTGGCTGAAGACAGGTTCAACCTTGATTAAGTTTCAAAGTAGCCAAACCACACTCTCCAATAGGAATCTTTCTTCCCCTCTCCCAAGATCACTCATGATCTATTAGTGAGTCAATTATACTGTACTGTTGGAACACGGCCTTCTTTCTGACAGCAGTAATGGTCCTTGGCATTACAGCTGCCTCAGATATATTTAAGCTCTAAAGGATTTCAGGGAGTACAAACTTTGCCAGAAAGATGGAGTTTTGTGTTAGTGAGTGGAGAGAGTAGGTGTGTACTGAGCAGCAACAGAGTCCTCTGCTATGAGAAGTGTCCCAGTTGTGTACCTGAGCCAACTCTTGTTGAAATTATTTTCAGTATTCCAACATGAAAACACAAGAAGCAACTGTGTCATCTCGCTAGTGATGATTATGCTTTTTTTTATTCTAAACATGTGTTTTATAAAAGGTAAAAAAAAACAAAAAGAAAATAAAAATATCCTGCAGATTAAAACTTTTATCAAATGTGTTTCATACCCAAGGTCTCAAAAGTGACTAGAAGAGATCTAGTTGAATCCAACAGAGCATCAAGAGCAGGTACTTTACCAAAAAAAGGACACAGTTTTCCAACCTTCACTTGCCAACTCATATCAGACAATCTGAGGCCATTTGCGAAGTGATCTACATTGAGCTTTCATGCTTCTCTCATTGTAACCTCCCCCCCACCCCCTCCTGGCCCCAGCCTCCAACTTCAAAACTTTTTTTTTTTTAATTATTTTGAAAAACATTAAAAAATGTTGCTTGGAGACAGATTTTCTCTGAACGTCTAATCAGAAAGACATGAGGGTACATTGTAACTAGGCCAAATTTCTGATGTCATGAATGAGCTGGTAGACAACTGGATCTCATATACACACCAGACGTTTTCATCAAACATACTCTAAACTCCTCTGTGGCTTTGAATTAGTGTTACTCTTGTTATCAAGGAGTGAGAACCCAACACAATCATCATCTCTGAAGTCTGTAACTTTCTGTTTATTCTGCCTTTAAAAAAACAAGAAACTGCCAGTACAATCAGACTTGAAATATTTTCTATTGACAACAGCTTCCTAGGAATTTTGACTTATGTATACCTTAACCTTAATCTATTCTAGATGGCCTGTATTTGTAGCGCTTTACTAGTCCCAAAGGACCCCAAAGCGTTTTACACAACCAGTCATCCCCCCATTCACACACTGGTGATGGCAGCTACATTGTAGCCACAGCCACCCTGGGGCACTGACAGAGGCGAGGCTGCCGGACACTGGCGCCACCGGGCCCTCTGACCACCACCAGTAGGCAACGGGTGAAGTGTCTTGCCCACGGACACAACGACCGAGACTGTCCAAGCCGGGGCTCGAACCGGCAACCTTCTGATTACAAGGCGAACTCCCAACTCTTGAGCCACGATCGCCCCTAGATCGCCCTCTAGAGGTCGTTTTACTATACACTAAAGTCTACACTAAAAGAATTTTTCATGTGATGTACATCTCATTTCTTTATATTTTGCAAGGGAAATGGGAAAGATGCAGCAATTTACTAATGCATATTGGAAATTCAGTAAACAGAAGATGCATCAATGGATTAATTGTGTCATCTCACTAGTGGTGATTAAGCAATTTTTTAAATTCTAAACACAAAACCAAGGTATGTAGTCATGCCAGCAGCTCTGTAAACCCATTTTTTGCTGGAAGTAGTTGGGGTTTTTTAATTTTACTTGTCCACATTGAGTCCACTCGAGGGACGCATACTTAGCTGGTGCACTTAATGTATTTGAACTGTGCAGACACGTTTGCAAAGCAAAGCTTGGAATGCCATTAGGTTTGCATGTCATAGACCACAGTTTGTGACCTTATTGTGGTGCTTGACAAAAAAGGGGTATAAATGAGATATTATAGTAAATCCAGGGAATGATTAATATCCATGCAAACTATTGCAATCAATCAGTTTGCTGTGGTGGTTAAAAAAATAGGCATCCCTTGACACATGCTGGTATAACCTGAAGCATCACTTCAGCCACAGTGGCAAAATACTCTTGCTACTTGAATTTTATATTCTTTGTCATATTCTGGCTGATATTTCGTTCTTTTTAGTGACCTGGAGAGAAAACGGGATTTTAACTTGTTATAACCTGCAGCACAAAGCCAAAACGCGGTGAGTAAAATGAGACGCAGGTCAGAAAATCATCCATTTGCAGTCTCTGTGGTTTTTTTACTTTACAAATACCAAACGATCGTTGCCAGCGCTGACAGCCGTGACAGTCAAAAACATTAATTTTTTAAATCTCAACATTTGAATCCAAAACTGAGTCCCAAATTCAAAAAGCAAATTATCTGCCAAGTGGTGATTTAATATCACCAGTATCCAATGCAAATGAACTAGTTTCAAGACTACATGGCTCTTTTTTTTTTATTTATAATAGTGACGACTATTGAGTTTTTCTGGCTTTTTTTTTTCTTTTACAATCATTTTACTCCACTGCAAAATATGTAACGGTGCACAAAAAAATCACCTTTTATTACTAAATGTGACATTAATTAGATTGTTTGGACATTTTTTAGACTTACTATCATGGAAATAATCCTACATTTAGATACTTCATTATCTGCAAAGATAATTGGATTTTTCTTGAAATATAAAAAGATACTCGACATTATTAGCTAGATAAATCAGAAGCCAAAGTAAATGTCCTGAAACTGGAAGGTAACAGATTTAACCCCTCAAAAACATTGTCTTGTATTGAACGTCTGAACAAAGGCAGAAATGTTAAGTTTAATGTTGATTCTTCCCATATAGAAGAACCTTAATACGACAAGGTAAAGTAAAATTTAAACAAAGGGATTACTACTTCGGCGAGACACAAATACAGATTGCCATGCTGTAAAAATACCCCTAAAACAAGGCAGAGAGTTTAACCTGATTCCAGGCTTGGCACTGAACCGTCACAGAGAAGCTCTTGTCAGATAGTGCAGAGTGAAACTAAATCATGACGTACCTCTTTAGGAGAGCGTGCAGACAGGGAGAAAAACGTGGCACATCATTCCAAGTTTTAACTTGCGTGTCTTCCTCTTGGCTTTGGTCAAGGACAGCAATTATTCAGTAATTGGAAAAAAGCATGTATCTGCATTATATCACGTTTTATTTCCAGGCTAACCAGACATATGACTATTATTCATTATCCAGGTAGAGAGCGACCATGTCAACTTTCTTTTTAAGCATTAGCAGAGGAGAGAGCAGTTACTTGTTTCTTCCACAGGAGAAATGATTAAAAATAGTCAACTAGCCTGAGCCAAACGACTGTGGATGGAAAGCAGTTTGTCTGTGTGGTGAACTGTTAAACTGGTACATCACCATCCAAAACAAACCATTTTTAAAAAGTGATTTAGCTCTATCCGACTTCTTCTCCAGGTTATGAGCCAAAGAGTCCGGCCTCTGCCCACAGACTGACCTGTCCTCCCCTTCACTGACTCACAAACTTACTCTACCTCCACTGTCATAATAAAGCATTGGGACAGCATTGTCTGGTAGGTGGAAATAAACACTTCTACCATGTCTCCCACAGTTCTTACTCATACCGTCCCACCCAAACACTCGCCTCTGGTAAAGGTGAAACAGACACTCAAGGAGATCATGAAAAGTTTCCCAATTTATAGTTGAGAGTACTTTTAATAAATGGAAGATTTTTTTTAATAAAGTACTTTAAAAGGGTAGGAAAGCATTACTCAAGCAGTCACTGGAACATTTTACCCATTGTTTAGCTTTCAATGTGACAGCATATAAATTTATCAAGTGTGAGTTATTGTTCTGTATGTTTCAAGTAGTACTCTTGAAATTCTAAGATAAACTAAAAGCACATCACAGAGAGCAATGTTGTGATGTGTTCTTTCTCTTAGAGCTTTATCTGCATCACAGCGGTGTCTTCACAGTAACCTGTTAAGTAGTTTGTGAAATATATTCCTGGAAAGTTAACATAAGGTATGTAACAGCACCGATCAGGCCAAACATTTAAATAGCTGACAGGTAATGGTCCCGATGCAGTGTAAAGTCCTGCTCGGAAACCATTAGTCCAGACATTCACTAACTTTAAAAACTCCCCGCATACCGATCTGATCAAGCATCTACTGGATGCACCAGAACAGGCCTGCAAACACTGGGACCCAAAGGAAACATCATCAGTTAACTTGTCAGAGTGACTTGAAATGATTGATACCACTCTCTTGTCTCTGCGCCATGAAGCCTCAGCCAGCAGCTGACTCGTTACTGATGAAATCCTTTTGATAAGTTTTGTACTTTGTTTCCTTTTAAATTAATATTAATTACTGTTTCACAGAACCCTGAAACGCATAACTATATTTGGTAAAGAAATGTTCAAGAGGGCTGTGCAAAACAAAATCTTGACCCAACCCTTATTTTTTTATATATATATTTTTGCTAGGAAAATCAGAAATAGGTGCAAAGGTTTACTGAAACGTGCAAACTGTTTCAATAAATCTGTATAAAAACAGACATTGAACAACTCTAACAAGCCTCATTTCCTTTTACGCAGTGTTCAGGAATAGTTCTTCAGGCTTTTTGAAGGA